ACCGTCGATAGGAGCAGGCAGACAAAGACGAGAAGCTTTGCAAGGAATGACAATTGCGATAGCGGTCGAGGCATTGTCGAAGATTCAGCCATGGATGGGAAGACACCAATAAATACTACTCTAAACCAACAAGAAGCGGGTTTTGGTTCGGGTTATCGTGGGGCGCAAAACTAGCTCATTCCGTCTGGAGGATCAGAATAATCGTATGATAATGCGCAAAAGTTCAGCTGTGGTAGTGAGCGTGGACGTTGCGAACAAAGACAGAGCAGAATCAAACAAACAGATGCTTCGTGTCAGGAGTTAAACCTCTCTCGCCAGCCCATCCATGCAAGGGAGGAGGATACCTAAGGCCAGGTACGACAAGAAGGATGTGGGGAGGAAAATAGTAGGTACTTCACCCAGGCCCAGCACCACAGGCGAATCTTTGTACCTGGACACAACACTCCGGCCACAACCCCATATGCGTGTGGCAATATGTAGAGGTCAAAGCTTACATTATTCTCCGTTAATTCTTTGGTTTTTCTCTACAACAATACTAAGCCTCAATCTATTGTGTGTTATGTGTTCTATGAATGGATCTGGACTTTCATGTTAGCCCTTCACCAGCTATGAACGATAGTAGCCCGAAGCTCCCTGTTAGCTCTCGGCGGAAGAAGCCTTTCTAACGTGCACAACAGGCGCGGGGGAGGACCCTTTAAACTACCTATGGTTAAACAGCCAGGGGATGGTCAAGCCCCATTGGTTCACGGTTATAAAAGGCGTGTGGGTGCATTTGAGATGGATAAATCACACTGGACGCATTTATCAAGTTGGACACGTATAACTTTCACTGGCCTATATAGAGCCAGCTATACTGTGGTCATTATGTCCATTCTCTCAATCATGCCGAGCTGCGGTATCCTGAATACCTAAGCAATGCAAAAGATATCATTGATCATGCCTAAGCCTGGCGTGCAAGTCAGTGGTAGTAAAGGCTAGAGCACATTCCAGAGAGACTGAAATTCGACACAATGCTATTGATACTAAGACCACCTTAAGAAAAGGTGTGGAGTTGTATTATCTGATCATGCATCTTGAACTAATGGGCGTTTTGCTTTACTTTAAATAGGCATTATTGGGAGCTAGCTTGGAAACCTTCTCCCCCAAAGACTTCCGTTGAATAATCTCATGATACGAGAAACTAACGAACTGGCAAGCAAGATTTCACCACAACTCTTTACCCGAGGTTCCTGCAGACATCCATCATCTGAAGCTAACGCAGGCTACGTCATCCCGTTAACCCCACGTTTCTAAAATGTTGAGAAGACCCTCATAAGCAACAGAGACAAGACAAAAGTAAAGGTATCATGAGATTAGCATGGGCGGCGATGGGCAATACATCTGAAATATTGAAGCTTCGTATTGATTTGGCTTGCGCCTTATGCGTCAAAGCCGGGGCCTATCCAAAAGGCAGTCTCTAACACCATCGTCTACACATTTATATCTATTACAATGAATACACCCCAATGGTTGTTGACGTGATACAAGACCCCTAAGTATCCTAGCGTCATAAAGAATGCGAGAAACCCGCAAGTAAACACCAAACGCCCTCGTCATGCTTTGATTCTTCGACTTGTGCTGCGACACCAGTATTTTTTGTCCCATGATCTCTCTCCAAAATGCTGCGCCTCTCTGGGTGGATTATTTTATATGCCATTTCGATCTATCAGGGCTTGACAGAACAAAACTGCTCGGCCAAAACGGCTAGTTCCGGCTTAGTGTAGCTTGTTGGCAGCTTGTGCCGCCTTGTTGGCGATCTGCTTCTCCTTGGGGATAGTGAGGGCATTGATACCGAGGTAGTTGCAGATGCTGGTAACAACGAGCCAGGCCCAGCGGAAATAGACAATCGTGGAAAAGAGAAGGTAGGCCCACAAGTAGAAAAGCTCGAACTGGGCGCTGACCTGAGGGAGTCCAAATCGAGGCATGTTTCCGAGGAACGCACCACCAACAAGAGGGTATAGCATAACGGTCCACCAAGGGAAAGGTTGGCGAGTCAAATGGGCAAGAATAATCTTAGTGGTCAAGCGGCCAAAGACGAATGACATGATGAAGCAGAAAAGCATCAGGTGGTTCTCCTTCATGATGGTACTGTAAGGAGAGAAGACCCAAGCGGCGATCGAAAAAGTGAAGACGGCCATAGGAATCCACTCAAGGAAGACGGGAAGAATGGGCTCTCCTCTGGACTTGCGAGCCTTAGCAACGTTGAGCACACAGAAGGGAATCTGTGTAAAGACGAGGGAGCCAATGATAAGGCCAATCCAGATATCTCGGAAAGTGGTCTCGCCAAGGAGCTCAGCAAGACCAGGAAGAGTGTCCTTGATGCCATTAGCCAAAGGAATGGTCCAGATGCCGGGTCCCCAAATGCCAGACATGATCATAATTGCACAGGCAATAAGGATGCCTTCTGTAGGACCGTTGATAACGCCGAGGTAGAGAGTATGCGTGTGGTATGTTTCCCAGGTCGAGAAAAACATGGGCAGGCATGGACATAGAGCGGTGATGATGCCAGCTGGAGAGGTACCAAGACCCATAGCAGCAGTTTCGAGAAGGCTGGCGAGTGTGCAGTTCAAAGAGTCGATACCGTGATCGAAAAGTTCGCCCAGGCCGCTTGAGGTTCCAGTTCGTCGAGCTTGCTTTCCGTCGAGGTTATCCATCGTTTGGTACATGAAGAGGCCAAAGGCAAAGCTGAAGTAAAGCCATGAAGGAGCCTACAATAACACTTGCGATTAGTACTTCACTCCAGAGACATGGAAGGTCTCCCACATACCGGTCCAACGAGATCAGGCATCCAGATTGCACAGAAAGCGACATTTATCAGGATGAAGCAGAAACCCAAAAGGGTCACCATGTTGGGAGCAATCCATAGTGGTAGGAGGTTAACAGAGGCATTCCACTACATGACGACAAAGACGCGTTAGCTATCACGAGCTCCAAAAAAAACTTGGCAGGCGAGTGTCGGCGAGCTCTTCCAGATGGTAATTGTTGAGATAAAATGGTAAAGCAGATTTGAGATACGCGCATAAGGGAGCTGAAGGTAGAGGCAATACATACAAAAGGACCAAGAACGTATTTCGAGACTGGCGACAGGTCGACGCTTGAGTACTTGTATGACTTGAAGTGTACCAGTGCGTCATCAGAGATGCACTCAGCAACATTCTTTTCTGCAGGGCCCCGATGTTAGTGGTCAACGGTCTCTTATTGCAGTACCCATGGAACCCAGGCGTTCAAAGAGCTTCCTTTTGTTCCTAGACTTACTCGTATTAGGAGCCATATTCGTACCGTCCGGGTCAGTGGCCGTTGGGTTGTAAAGCGGAAGTGTCTCGCTTGCAGTCATGGTGGAAGAGAGGGGCCGGAGGAGGAGGGGCAAAAATGGGGGAGTCTCTTAAATCAAGGGGAAGGCAAAAAAAATTAAAGACGTCGATAAAAACACCTAAACAATCGGACCTGCAGCGACGGCGGGCACGCGCAATAGTGACTTGCAGCAGGACAGGGTAATAAGGTAGATCCGCCAAAAGCCCTGCAAATGGATGATTGACCCTCGGCTCTCTTCCAAGGCGGTATTATCCTAACAGAGACAGGCGGCGCGGCACGTGGGCGGGAAGACACAGATAATCGAAGAACAAGCGTGACAGGTTTTCTCTTATCGACAACGGTAGATGAATCGGATTTCAAGCCAAGGTTATATGTGGCGGACCTGATTTGCGAAGACGACCGGGAGGGCTGAGACAGAGTAAAGCAGGCAAGAATAGCGGTGAAGAGTCAGATAAAGAATTAAATATGTTGATGAACAGTTACCGCCAAGGAGTGTTTTTTTGCAGATGAAGAAAAGAAGGGATTGAAAGGGTTTAAGGGGGCAGGTTTTGACAGCTCAAGGCTAGTTAGGACTCGAAATTGGAATTCAACCTCCAACTCGTACTGGTGTCGTCGTACGTCGAGCCCCTGGATCGTAAACCCCAAAGCCCCTGCTAACACCAGCGATCCGATCCACTAGAGGTATCCGCTTACAGGGGAAACACGCATCTAAAATTGGGTAAGGTAATTAGCGGCTCGTTCATTTGAAGGCTCCAATCATCAATTTGACAGCTAACGAAACAGGTCGACTTTGACGGCCCCTTTCTTGTGAGACTCGAGAACAATAGTAAGTTCCTTGAGCATCCCTAGGTAGTACTCTCACTTGCACATTGACCTCAGCAGGCTCAGCCCTGCCAAAAGGGTGCACCAGCCCTGCCTGCTCACGAGGAGGAGCTCGCATAGACACCCCATCATGAGATTGTTTCGACGTTATTTGATCCGTCTTAGCCGTTGGTGCCGAGGCGAGGGATGAACTAACGCTATGGATCAACGGCGCATGGATAGAATGATTTTCACATGCCCTTCTAGGCTCGTGAGCGCGTGAGCACCAACAAAAAGAATACGAGCTTCTCATTCAACTGCAATTGGCTGGAATGGATGCTAGTTGGAGAACAAAACTTACATCACGGTAGTTTGGTTGATCCGATAGCCCGGTACACGTCTAAGGGTCTTCTTGGAAATGCGGAATGTGGAGTGAAGATCGACTGACGCTGACTGTGTTCTCCTCCAATTCTCGGAATCCTCGAACCGACAACGACATGTCTCGATAGGCCACTGCTTGTTTCATGCATCATGATATCACACTCGCTTCAAATCTGTTGTGAAAGGCTCATGGTGGTTCGACTGCTTGATTGCAGTCAACGACGTGTATTTCGTCCTGCTCTACCACCTATTCACACCCATCTCTTCGTCCCTTCGACATTGACGATATTAATGATGTAGGAGGGCAACCCCTCAAGTTGAATCATAAAAAAGAATATCCCACCATAAAAGACAACCAAACACCTAGACGTCCAAGGCTTCAAAGGAATGTAGGAGCAACAAACACAAGAGAACAGAAGCAATGCAGTAACCTCTTTGGCAGCAAACCGCCAAGCATCACCAGAAACTCAGAGCATGGCGAACCCAGCGAAGATGGTGCTCAGGACAATAGTCAGGCCCCATGTGCGCCCAGCCTCAATGACGGCGGCGCCGTTGGTCTTTGTTGTTGTTGAGCTGTCTGAGTCGGAGTCATCATCATCGTCGCCTCCTGGGGTGCCAGTGTAGACAACATTGGGATCGTCAGTAGCGCTGGCTGTCGCTTTGACGGCAGCTGTGTCGGTAGCTGTGGAAGTGGTGTTGTACTTCTTGGGGTTGCTGGCACCGCATGGGTGGTTCTGGCGGCAGTCAGAAGCACAAGAGGCACTTCCATTGCAGTCCTCGACACACTGGTTACCCCATTCCTGGCAGACATAGAATGGCAGGGTCAGGGAATATTCAGACACGTTAGGTTGCTTGCCGTCGCCGCAGATGCAGCCGTATGTAAGGGTTTTCTGGACGAAAGAAATTAATAGTTGTAAACGAAGCCCGGATAACGAAACTTACAGGATCACACTCATTAACCTTGGTGTCTCCCTTGCTAGTCTGCCCGCAAATCATTGGGCAGGTTTCTATTTCGTTCTGGCACCAAACACCTGGTTCTGCATTAGTCCCTGCACCTTAAAGAGAAACCAGCGATAGATGGTTTACTCACGGCGTTGAGACAGGGGAACACTCTCGGGGTCAATGACATAGTCGGCATTGACAACGGCAATGGCTGAGGCAGCAACGGCCAAAACGGTTGTTCGGAGAGAAGGCATTATTGTGACGTATTTGTGTCTTGTATGAGAGCTAGTTGTGCTGGATACGATGAAGTTATGTATGCGAAGTCCAAAAAAGTTCGTAAACGGTGAAGATTGACGAAAGGTATGGATTTTCTTTGGCCGGGAGTCAGCGGTTTTATTCACTTGTATTTCATTGGAAGTCTCTCTCTTTCCTATAACGAGGAGATTGCTTGTGCTCTGCGGGAAGGAGAGGTATGGAGGAAGCTATCACTAAGACAACCGGGGCAATACCAGTCGACTCGGACGATGTTTGACTTACAGATTAAGAACGAGGTATGTGAGTGACGACCAACAATTTAAAAAAAGCGAGCAAAACAAGAAATAAAAGATGAAGATGGCGCGTTAACGACTGTTGAGAATCAAGACCAGGTCTGATATAGCGAGTGTATCAAAAGCAGGTGGTGACAGAAGAGGACGATGAAGAAAAGGTCGAGGAGGTCCGAGACATTTCAACGACAGACAACCCCCGGCTATATGTATATGGATGCATGGATGATGGATGGATACCTCTCTACGGATACCTAAGCTTAAGTCCAGATACCTACCGCCGGGCTACAGCGTCAAAAGAAATGATCCGTAGCAAAAGCTGAGGCGAGACCCGAGCCTGGGCGATATCATGACCACAGACGGTGGGCAAAGTAGCACCAGTAGCACCAATTTTCGTAGAGCGAACAGGGGACTTTAGGAGCAGCCCAGCGGTATTGGGCTTAGCTCTAACATTTCCCAGCAGCAATGAGACTTTATCTGCTCCATATCATCCACCACTCGGCGCATTTTGTGCCCAGGAGGTCCCGGAATACTTGGAGGCTAGCCCAGATAGACTCAACTAGTGCGGTCCGCCGCTCAAGCTTGGGCTTTTTAGGGCGGTCTGGGGAGGCTCACCATGACCGCCGTAATCTCCAAGGCCCTTGGTTTTAAGAGCCGTGATTAAAAGGAGTCAATAGTATCATCGATAATGTTCTTGTTACAGCAGCCCGGTCTGTGATCTTCAGAAGATCCCAATGGAGATCTTTCTAGTTGACTCAACGCTACAGTACTCTTGTCAGATGTTGGTGATGCCCCATACTCGCCATCATGGGCATACCTACGGAGTAGTCCTACATACTTCCAACGAGTGGAGGTCGTCCTTCTTTTTTCTCCTCTCAACTGCATGTCTAGAGCTTGGCTTTGTGGCGGGCGCGAACGGTTGACTACCTACTACAGACTCCACATCTAGTAGCCATGAAGCGATATGAGACCACTACTGCACATTTGTTATTATGGTCTTCTCATTGTGCATCACAGAGTGCATCTTGGACCACACAAACGACGCGCTCCAGTTGGTAGTTGAAGTCGCTCACAACATGTACGAGCCCACCATGATCACGGCGGAGGATTCTTTACGGACGATTGGCCACTCGGATGCAAGAATGGTGGCCAACTGTGCCCAGAAAGGGTAAATCTGTTCGGTGCTAGGCATCTGGACCAGCCAACAACCTTCGTATTTCTTGCATATGGGCGGGGCATGTCACTGCACTGAACCCTTAGACAACCCCGCGCAATGCACCACGACGAGAACATGATGCTATGGATATCGCGCCAATAGTTGGCGTTGATGATATCTTGTTTGTGCCTCACTATGGAGCTGACGCGGCCAGATGTCCAGGCTCATAGAGAAGCGATCACAGTTGCACATTTTATGAGGTATCACACAACAAAGTCGAATAATCACCACTTCTTGTAACCCAAGAGTGCAGGTGAAGAAACACTCTGCTGGCTAAGACATTTGGAGAGCGGAGTGCATTTGGAGATATGACGGACTAGCCGAAGAGATATCCGCTTCTCTCTCGTACAAGATAGCAAGGTGACTTCGTATCGAATCGAATCGTGCTCGTGCCATGCAGGCATCAATGGAGGCGAAGACACTTACAGATTACAGAGTACAGAGTACGAAGACCTGGTTCTGACAGGTCACAAAAAGATAACCAAATCTGAAAGAGACCAGCCTCGACTTCAAAAGAATCCTCAAGTCTCGAGAGGTATTCATTCCATGTGGAGAGTAGATTCTTACCCCGCAGAGTGAGGACACTTTCTCCCGATTCAAAGTGAACCTCCAAGAACTTGGCAGAAACTTTGGTCAACGTGATCTTGGTTTCTTCCTCCAACTTCGGTCACTCCTTTGATTCCAACCTCCTCTATTTCGCTCCTTAGTTACGATTAGAGTTACAGTTTGAACTGGACCAGATGGCAATGCCATATGATATGACGAGAGTTCTGCGGCTTGAAACAAAGTGGCCAGAATCTCTGTCCTTGTATCCCTTGATAAAAAGCCACAGTCGATGAGATCTCATGCTTATCAATCCGGATTCCGCTACGTCCCGAAGCTTAGACGACCGGTATTTGACCGACCTCTCCGGCCGGGCACGGAGCGGATGTGGCTTTGGAGCTCCGTATTTCAAGATGAAGGCCGGCCGTGAATGTGGCGGTCATGGTGTACCCTTGCAAGTGTGGTATTTTGGTTGATATCCAAGTCAGTGGGCATCGAGTTTGTCTAAGAAAACCTTATCCGTACTACATACAGCATGTGATTGGTTTGCTGTGTGTGAGTGATTAGCTTCAGGTAGCCTCAGGGTGTAAGAAGTCTTCTGACGAAAAAAATGAGGTGTCAAAAACACATAGTCTAAGATCCTCTATATCTCTACTAAATTATACTAAATTACACTAAGTTTACCTAAGACTTTTTGTCACCTAGGATAGATGTCCTAAGTTTTATTGCATCCCCTTGGGTAGGTAGGTAGGCATTGAACGGTAAATCAACTCTCCTCCCATGTCGCGATACCTCGCGGAGACTGTAGATATAAAAACTTTGAAATAAGTAAGTCCGGAGCAGATCCACACAAACAAGAGATCAGAGGTCACAAAGTTTATCGCGTTCAACTCCGTAGGTTGTCCTATGTACTCCCATAGACCGGGGCTCCGGCCCCTCCATCAATCGGAAAAAATCAAGCTGCAAGGTCCGGAACGGCGCCGTTTGACTACGACATCACATCCAATTCATTCTTTCAATTGGGACAAGCTACCTTACGTATCGCCACTACCCAGACACACACTACCTTATACTATGTCCCTGGTTGGATCGTGCCCTCTACTCGTGCCTTGATTTCATCATCATCATCCTCATCCTGACGACCTGTACCTAATTGACTGTTTCTCTACCGCTCCGCAACCTAAATCCTTGCGCTTTGTCAACAGAAAACAGGGCTGCAATTCATGGGCTGTTATCCTAACTGGCTGATACGATTTCAACTGTTAATCAACATCAACATTACTCGACTGGATCGATTGAATCATTGCTACAAGTCTTTGCGACGTGGGTTTACCTCTGAATCACAGACAATTCAGTACTATTTAAGCTGTTGTATCCGAGGTTTCTTGAACGATTCAAGCCCGACATTTTGTTTCAACGCATGGTTGAATGGCGACTGCGATAGATCAAGCGCCTGGCCATGGCAATCCGGCCGTCGGCGCATCTCATCCAGGTGGTTCTGAGACACAGAGCGCAGCTACCGAAGTGTTTGAGACACCACGCACATCCTTCGATCATGACCCCAACAATAGCAATCATGCGCGGCACGAGACTGCGTCATCTACGGTCTCCCCGAGTTCGATAACATCGCCACCATACTGGCTCAACACCCGCTCAGGCCATCAACGAACCATATCGAATATGTCGACCGAGTCCGTTCTTCCTGCTGGTGCCATCACCCTACGTGACAACGAAGCGAGCGAATTCGACGACCGCAACAGCGCTTGCTGGGCCAAGAGTGTTGAGATTGTCAACTATACCATTGTCAACGGCAGTGCAACAAATATCGGAGCCTTTGTGGTATGGAATATTCGTGTCGAGGCTCTCAATGTGAGTGATTGGTGGTGGTTCAGTAGTGGCGTGCTGATCCGAAGACGGCTGTTGACTGACCCAACGATAGGGGAGTTATATGAATATTCGTAAACGGTATTCAGAGTTTGACGACTTTCGATATCGGCTGGTTCAGACTTTCCCCGGATTCGAGGCAGCTGTTCCGGCGCTTCCGCCCAAGAGTGTCATCTCCAAGTTCCGGCCTAGATTTCTCGAGAAAAGACGGGCTGGCCTACAATACTTTCTCAAGTGCGTATATCCTGATTTTCCAGCTCAATATTATGCTGACCTTACTAGCTGCATATTGTTAAATCCAGAATTTTCTGGATCGCCAGTCCTCAAGGAGTTCCTCTTTGCATAGCGTTCCTATCGTCTTAGCATCTTCTCTTCTTTGGATATGTTTACCTTTGGGTCTCAATCATGGGAGGCCTCTTTGTACAAACGATATATATTGGTTGGCCCAGTTTCACGCACATATGCAGCAGCCAACGATCCGTATTAATGATAATGAGTTGGATGGCCTACCACTTATGGCCCTACAGGTGTATTGCATGGCTGTCTGTTCTTTGCTTGTGCTTGATTCGAGAGCCAAGATGAAACCAAGTTGGCATTGTCGTACGAAACAGTCAAGCATCTCTCGAAAAACAACCATTTGCTTCGCCAAGGCAGAGCGGCTCCGCCTCCAGCGGCATGTCATCACTGGGCGTTTAAGCTCTCGTACCCAAAGGGCTGAGTATAGGCGCCTGGGCGCAGCAGGAGAAATGCTAATAACAGGCGCGCGATACTAACAGTTAAGCTGTTGACTTTTAAATGAAGCTTAACATACCTAACCATGTGGAGTTCGGTATGGCTTAGAGGATATGCTGTTACGCATCAGCCAATGAGTGAGTTCCTTGACGGATTTACCTGCCGCTATTCTGACGATTGGCCAGCCACGAGTCTAGATCATATCGGTACCTATGTAACGGCATTTACCAAGCATCGCGGCCTCTCAGTCAAGCAATCTATTGAGATTTTACGGTGATGCCAATGGTCTTTGCAGGATTGCCAAGTGCCGTTCTTCCGTGACAAGAATGACAAGAACCTGCTTTTCTGGGCATCGGCCTGACTACATCAGCAGTAAAGGCCATGTTTATAAGAGCCACAAGATCCAGCTCCAAACCAAAGAGATTCGAAGAGTCATGGTTTCATCAAGCTTCATATTTTCTTGTTTCTTAATGTGATTAACAGCCTTTTCCAAGGATTTCGTCGCCGTTATCACCAACTTGGCTCCCACCCCCACATCCTCAGCCCAGTTCAACCCCACGACCATGACGCAACTCGATATTCTAGAAAACCGTTGTTTGATGTTACCGGTTTTAGTGCAGACCCCAAACGATATCAGTATGGAACTGCCGACCGGTACCGATTCGAAATTCTTAGCCGTCAACTCTACATCATCTTCTGTTGCTGCCACTAACGGCGACTTATACTCTACCACTAAGACAAAAGATTATATGGACTCTCTACGACCACCTTCACCAAAGCAATTCGAACGAATTGCAATTGTTCAACAACAACGCGAACAAGAAACAAAGCGCAGAGATCGCGAACGAAGGCGCTGGTCGCGCGAAGCCCAGCGTCAGCGCAATAGAGCCGCCAGTATGTCGACAGTCGATCAGGACGACCAAGCGCAGGCGCAAGCTGCGCGCACTATACAAAAGACATTTCGAGGGTATCGCGCCAGAAGAGAGATGCAAGGGTTTGGGTTAGATGCAAGTACAAGATGGGTCACTGCAATTCGAGAAGCTCAATTTCGACATGCGACATTGCCACGACCGAAAACAGAAGCTGATAACAAAGCTTTTGATAAGTCAAAAGCTGACGATTTTGCGAAACATAAATCGGCGAGTGCACGAGAGAAATGGAAGAAGGCGAGCGCCGTTGCGCGACGAGCAGGCCATGATGATCTTTTATCGGATTCTGAATCCTCAGAATCGTCTTCCGACGAAGATGCCTCCCCTGAAGAACGAGCTGCTGCACGAGCGCGACGCGAGAAAGCTACTGCTGCACGGAAACATGAGGCGCGCATGATGGGAATTCGATACTTCCTCGAGATGGTCGACCAGAAGCACCGTTACGGAAGCAATCTTTGCCGTTACCACGAAGTTTGGAAGCGAACAGATACAACTGAGAACTACTTCTACTGGCTTGACTATGGTGAAGGCCGCAACGTTGAGGTTGATGGTTGTCCACGCGATCGACTTGAGCGGGAGCAAGTCCGATATCTGTCTCGCGAAGAGCGCCAGTACTATCTTGTTGAAGTTGATAGTGAGGGCCGACTCTGTTGGGCGAAAAATGGCCAGCGCATTGATACCACTGAGGAGTTCAAGGACAGCATACATGGTGTCGTGCCTGTGGACGATTCCACGCCGGCCTTCAACGCCGCAGCCCAGCCTAAAGATGTACGATCCCTCGAATCTGTCAGCAGTTCCAGCTCCGATTCTTCTCTAGAGTCACGACGAGAGGCAGACCGGGCTGCCAAGTATGCGACCCCTGACTTTGACAACAGTCAGGGTATGAACAAAGTGTCTCAGATTTCAGCCTCCACAATCTTTAACAGGTTAATGCGCAAATCTGTCCGGAAGAATACATGGATCTTCGTTGCAGACACAAGTTTTCGCATGTATGTGGGCATCAAAGATTCAGGGGCATTTCAACACTCGTCTTTCCTCCAGGGTTCTCGCATATCGGCTGCAGGCTTGATCAAAATCAAGAACGGTCGATTATCGTCCCTCTCACCACTGAGCGGACACTACCGCCCACCCGCTGCAAATTTCCGCGCTTTTGTTGCCAGTTTGCGGCAGTCAGAAGTTGATATGAGCCACGTCTCGATCTCGAAGTCCTATGTGGTGTTGATAGGACTAGAGACATATATCAAGACGAAGCGCAAGGGCAAAGACTTTGCTCAGCGTGTGGGACACAGGAAAGATAAGATAATTGCCCCAGAGGAGGCGGCGCGTAGGGAAGAGGAGGCCAGGGATAACAGTGAAAGTGCCGCGAAGGAAAGGGAGGTCTTACAACGAGAAGAGGCGGAGAAGCAAGAGGGAAGACCTGTAAAAAAGGTCTTGAAGAAGCTTGGTATCAAACCAACAAAGGAGGAGAAACAGGCGGCTAAAAGGGAGAAAAAGGAGGATGTCGAGATGATGCACGTATAGTAAGGCACTTGGTGTTTGGCGATGTGTTTTGGTTTTACGATATTATACCCTTTATGTATAGAGCAGTTCCCAGATTATGGTCCACGACATCAAATACGAATACCCAGTATCATGAATATTCTCTGTATGCAGCTGTTAGTTCCAGCTATCAAATGATATTGCATGAAGCTCATCTAAGCTCTGTTAAAATCCTAACCCAGCTAGCTATCCATCCTGTGGCCTGAATAGAGCTTCAAGACCTATTATCCTCCGATACCCACCAAGCGAAGACCTCAGAGCAGAAAGAAGCACAGAAAAGCCATTCATGTATACCAAAGCGTCTATCCTGAGTGATAAGAGTAATACGATAACCGATCTGAGAGTATGCGCCTTGATGTTGTATGAATCCTTCATCACTGAGAATAGAGGTCCCGGGTTTTCTCGTTTTTTCTAATATATATCATCTTGTTGTCTAGACATGCCATCTCCAATACCCTGAAGCCAGATGCATTCAAGCAATCTCGTTGCTGACACGAAAGCATAAATTATTAATTCAGTCGTAACTTAAGCGAACACTTGAAGCTTTTCAGTAGAAATACAAATACCTCAGTCAAAGAATTCAGTTTATCGATACTGTATTTGATACAGTTAATAAACTTTTCTGCCATGATATATACCTATTTGTGGCCGAGACACAAAGCATCATTCCAGCGGAAAAGCTCCTTTGATCTTCTACTGCTCTGATAGTTGATATTCCTGTCACTTTATTAGCTGAGGCATCCTTACAGGCACCCATTAGCATTTATCACACCGAACAAACACTTGATGATGGTCGGTTGATTGATAATTAATGAACCATCCGAGTCAGAGGGATTGTTTTTCGAGGTGCGCATGACCAACTCATTTGCCACAGGTGGCTCCAGCGCGAGGACGCCCTGTAGCTCTGCATTTGCCAGTGGGATATAGGGGGTACAGTGGCGCCATTGCCCTGAAATTGCAAGAACACTGGTGCTCAAAATCTTGGCTTGGTGCCCTGCGAGACGGAGCCAAGCTTCCACTGACTGCAAGCGTCGCACCGAAGCCGCGTTCGAAAAACCCCATCAACATCGACGACGCCATCTTCAAACTGAGCTGGCGGACTGAGAGAAATACATCCTTGAAACCATGCCAGGCATTTGCTCGTCTTCCAATGGCTTCCGTCACCCGTTCCTCGCGGCGCGCTGAAGCTCCGCACCAGCATCATACGCATCACCACCTGACGCCCCCAGCAGGAGTATTCGCACATGCCCAGGGCGGAGGAGGAGGAGGAGGAAGAGGGCGCAACAAAAGGGCACTCGACACCCACGATCGCGATTTCGATGCGATCAAACCGAAAAGAACGCGATTAACAGTCGAGATCTTCGCAAAGGGCACCCACGGACTCCGTGATGCCGATATCGACAACAACAAAGCGGCACCACCCACGCGCAAACCTGCTGCGACGCCCACAGTGGCGACTGCGACACCAGTACCCCCTCCTCCTATGACCGATAGCGCGACATCGAAGCCGAAGCAGGAGCAGGCTCTGACAAAACACCAGAGCAAAGTTATCAATGGAATCAAACATGAACTCGATCGGTTACAGCCTCAGCCGAGCGATACCAATACCCAAGAGCAAGGCCGCAAGCTGCGCTCTCAGGAAGCTACGAGGTTCAAAAGCGAACTTTCTGCCTATTTTCCTGAATACGATGAGGTGATTGGGAATGAGCCCAAGGAGCAGCGTACGTACAAAAAAAAAAAAACAAAAAAAACCCATCGTTCGCCTGAATGTTGCCTGTATCATTTTCTGACTCTATATAGAATTATTCAATGTTGACACGCCGATCGTAGTCGTTGATTCCGATCCACGACGCGCCGTTTCAGAAAATCAACGCGCGATCCCACAAACTCATCACCCCGCAATTGAATATCCCGTGCGAGGGTACGGTGATGCCCTCTTCTACAATGTATTCGATTGTCAGCAAGTCGATCTAGGGTTTCTAGAATCGCAGTCGAAGAACAAGACCATTGAAGATCCTTTACCTGATAGACTATATCAGCCAATACATCGTCGCGCCGAGCGGCTGGAGAGGTCAATACGTAATACCGAGAAAGGCAGAGCACAACATGAAAGGGATCAAATTATCCGACTTCTCGAAGGACTCCAGGGCCATGACTGGTTAAGAGTCATGGGCGTCAGTGGTGTGACAGAGACGAAGAAGAAGACATTTGAGCCTGCTCGTAACCATTTCATCAAAGGATGCCAGGCTATTCTTGACAAGTTTCGAAACTGGGTGTTAGAAGAGAAGAGACGGAAGATGGAGAAAGACAAGGCCCGGGCTGAGAAGGAAGAAGAGGAAAACTCATCAAGCGTTGAAGAAGACGAAGCTGGCGATGACAGCGAGAATGGTGATGCAAGCGACTCAGAATCACCCGCAAAGCAACTGCAAGAGGAAGCCATGGCAAGATCCAAGAATGGCAAAGGTTTAAAGAACCAAAAATCGACTCCCCAACCAGCTGTAGCCAAAATTCCGCGTCCTGCAAAAGCAGCACCGGCTCCAAGGCCGCCAGAACCACCTAAGGAGTTCAAGTCGTTCTTCAGCAAGAGATATGAGCGTGACAGCGCTCTGCATCGACACAGGCGCACAGGGAGGAAGATTATGGCATGGGGTCTACCCATGCCTGAGATACCCGAGGTTGATTTTGATTTGCCGGAGGAATACCGTGGTGAAGATACCCTCAAGGCTCGTGCGAGGCAGCAGCGCCGTGAACGAAGACGCAGCAAGCAGTGAGTAGTTCTTGTTTGACTGTTTGTAATATCATTGCAGGCGAAGAGGATTTGTAGGTCGGCTGCACTAAATGGGTTGGCGTTTCGGGAGGGATCTGAGACGCCCTGGCAAGGGCGATGGTATCACGGTTGTCTGATTGGGATTGTGCGTATTACTCGAGAATCATCATGAGATGCTGTATTAGAATTGTGTCCTGTCGTTCAAATTGGGCTGCGAGGCCAATGACATGTGACACCTATTTGTTGCTCAACAAGGTCCAACTCACCTGTTGAGGATATAATAAATACCTGATAAATGATAGAGAAATTCTCTATGCCAACATGCCTTTGTTTTAATGAGGAACCGCGGCGGATGAGCTGAGAAACGTTTCTCGGGGCTTCTTGGTAGTGGGTCGCTCGATTTATCATCTTCATTCTTTTGTTTGTTCTTGGTCGATAGAATGATAAAGATGTGAATTGCCCAAGAAAGGTACTAACGTAACTACCTACCTTATCTACTAACCTTACCTTACTGCACAGTGAGCCTCATGAAATGGATGGAGCCTTAGTACCTAAGTGGAGCGGCCCGTGCACGCCAGCTTCCTGACGCGCCGCGAGCTGTCTTCCTTACTTTGCAAAGTTCACGACAGAAGTTAATATACGATCATTTTCCGGGTTTGCGCGAATTGCGCTTTTGCAGCATCTGTATTTTACAATAGGACCGTCGTTTCTTTACTAATTCATCGACCAAACTCTTCTAATAGCCACTTTACCCCTTCCGCTCCTCACTTCAAGCAGAATCACCTCCGCATACCCCGTTCAAATTGCGCCGACACCTTGAAAGAAACACAAGACTGCGCGAAGAGAATAATAAGAACTACAAATACACCTAGCGAACCCGAAGGCTTTTTTGCGCTGCGCATCAAGCTGAAACCTCCATCGATGCTGAGTCTGTGAACACCAGCTCGCAGGGGCCCTTAGGCCTTCGTTTCCTTTACCCTGCCTACCACCAGTCAAGATGACTACACTCGCCATGCCGCAGGAGCCTGCGCCAGTGAATCACTCTCTACTCGACATAGACGACGAAGCGGCCTCTACAGAAGATGGATCAGTGCTCGAGTTCTTCATTATCAAGCAAGAAGTCAATCTCGAGGTGAATTTTCGCGATAAACGCATTGATGGAACAACCGACATTTTTCTTGTCGTATTCAACGATAAGATTGAGGACATAGTGTTGGACGCTGCAGATTGCGAGATCGATACTGAGAACGTTTTCATCGCTGATATTAAGGAGTCAAATGGTGATCTCGCCGAGAGTCATAGACGGAGAACGACAGCAACCTACCATGATCCATATGCCAAGCTCACTCACCCAAAGAGTTGGAGTTTGAGAGCCGACCACCACGATATCCGCCGCAAGCGTGCACAGTCGATATTCCGCAGCCGCAAGAACGATGTCCCCGCCGAGAATAGAGAGTTCGAGGGGTGCACACCAGTCTATCGATCGCTGAAGGTGAACCTGCGAGGTAAGGCCGAGCCGGATCGCCCGAGGCTCATCATCAGGAAGTCTATGATAGGTCTTGATGCCAACGAGCGATCCAACAAGCAGTACAGAATCACCATACCATTTACCCATACGAACCCCCGAGACGGCATACAGTTCGTTGGCGTCGATCCCCTGGACAACCGGTTTACACACATGTACACACGAAGCTCGATACATCCTGGGACTGCTTCGTGCATTTTCCCTTGTATTGATGACCATGGATCACGTTGCGACTGGAGGATATCAATCAAGTACCCCCGTACCTTGGGTGATGCTTTACAACAAGCGCTTGCTACACAACAGAACGGTAGCAACCCCGGCAAGATGCAAATCGATGGCCAGGAGCGAATCCATAAGCTTGCCGAGGAAGATAAACTCCGCGAGATGTCGGTTGTCTGCTCAGGTTTCCTTATGGAAGAGACCGTAGATCCCGACGATGATCACAAAAAGATAATGACCTTCGAGCCTGAAAAGAAGGTGTCTGTACAGAAGCTTGGTTTTGCAGTGGGCCCGTTTGAGCATATCGATCTTTCATCTGAGTTTAGAACAGAAGAAGACGAGGTCAAACTGGGTATGAATGCGCTCAAGGTTCACGCATACTGCCTACCACACCGTGCCGACTGGGTAAGGAATACAGCAGCAGCCATCACTATGGCAGCTGATTTCTTTACATTCACATTTGCTCGATACCCGTTCGGCAATTTCAAGCTCTGCTTTCTTGATGATATGATTCAGGACACTGTGGCTCTCTATTCCGTGGCTTTCGTCAGCAATCGATTGCTTTTTCCAGATGACATTATCGATACCGAGATCGATGTCACAAGAAAGATGGTTCAAACATTGGCGTACCAGTGGATAGGCATCAACATGATACCGAACACAAGAAATGATCTATGGCTTATCGTCGGAATCGCGCATTTCATGACAGATCTCTTCATGAAGAAAATTTGCGGAAACAACGAGTACAGATTTCGGATGAAGACACTGTCAGACAAGCTTGTTCAGATGGACGTCGAACGACCTTCTCTTTACGACCTCGGCCCTTACCTACATTTGGGAGAGTTCGAGATGGACTTTATGACTCTGAAAGCTCCCGTGGTTTTCTTCATCCTGGATAAGCGGCTCATTAAGGCTTCAGGAGGACACGGATTGACACGCATTCTCTCTAAACTATTAACCAAGGTTCAGATTGAATCTTCTGACAGGGCTACTATCCTTGAAACAGAGAAATTCCGAACAACTTGTGAGAAGGGGGCAAAATATCGGCTTGAGAGCTTCTGGAGCCAGTGGGTCTACGGTTCAGGATGCCCGCGATTTGACGTCAAAGCGAAATTCAACAAGAAGAGGCTCTGTGTTGAGCTTACGCTAAACCAGATTCAATTCCAGACAGCCAAGAAGCCGCCGCTAGACAAGAATGATTTCCTGCGGGTTGTCAAGGAGCGCCGCTCTGGTGTTAAGCCAGGCGAAGTACAACCTCTGTTTACAGGACCGATGACGGTACGAATCCATGAAGCGGACGGAACGCCTTACGAGCATATTCTGGAAATCCGCGAAGATGCCACAAGGTCTACCAAATTCGAGATTCCATACAATACCAAGTATAAGCGGCTCAAGCGCACGCGGCGCATGAAGGAAAAACAAAACGTTGGTGCCAGTATGGATGCGGAAAACATGGATGACGCACTCCTCTACTGCTTAGGCGATGTTCTGCAGACGCCAGACGAGCAGGCACAATGGGAGTTGATTGATTGGGATCCTGAAACTGAACGAAAGATGGACCAGGAGTCCTACGAATGGATACGTGTAGATGCCGACTTTGAGTGGTCTTGCGATATGAAGCGGACTCTTGAGCCGTATATGTACGTGTCACAACTGCAGCAAGACAGAGATGTCGTTGCTCAGCAGGATGCTATGCTTTACCTGACGCAGGGCCCCTTGCACCCCATCGCGTCAGGGTTCCTTACCAGGACGCTTGTGGACCGCCGCTACTTTCATGGTATCCGAACCATGGCTGCTGAAGCTTTGCCACGGCAAGCCAACATCAAGGACCTATCAATGCTTGGCCTTCGACAACTGATGAAGGCTTTCAGCGAAATGTTCTGCCACAAAGGTACGAACCAACCAAAGCCGAATGACTTTTCCGACAAGAAGCAATACAACGTTCAGTGTGCTATCATCAAAGCCATCGCTCAAGTGAGAGATGCCCACACTTACAAATGTCCCCTTGAAGCTCGCCAGTTCATTCTGGACCAACTTCTCTTCAATAACAATGAAGACAACCCATATTCTGACCACTTTTACATCGCTACTCTCGTGGAGGCTCTTGCGACGTCTCTCATCCCTTCTAAGCAAGATGATTGGTTTGCGATGCAGAACAAAATTCCTAATGAGGATGAGAAGCAGTTCCTCGAAAGGGCCATAGAGCAAATCGAGAGAGTTTTACGGCGAGATGAATGGACCCATTCATACCAGAACGTTTGGACTATTGCTGGTCTTAGTGCCAAACAACGATTGATGAAGGCGGAAGTGATCCCGAAGAGGTACATTGATTTCGGACAGTATCTGTTGGATGGAACAAGAGATCTCATTCGGATCAAGGCCTTCGAGGCTCTGATTGACCTGGGGGCTATGTTAGACCCGACAGTGTTCTCATTCTTAACATACTCACTCATCACCGACCGGTCACCGTACGTGCGGAACAAACTCATCGAGGCGTCTGCCACTGGGCTCGCAGCCATTGCTTTCGGAGAGCATGCTAAGGTTGTTAAGAACGACCCTCGGCCGGAAGATGAAGGAGACCTTCTACTTGTGCAAGACAGTGCCCAGGAGATTGAGGCGAGAAAAGAAATGTTTGCCAGAAAAGAGAACCTGGATGCAGCACTCAAGGCTTTACGGAGAGAGATGGATGAAACCTACGGAGGCGACGAACGACACTATAGCATCGCCATGCGTAAGGCATTGGACCACCCGAGTCTCGGTCGTGGTGAGATGGAGAGCATGCTAGATTTGGCAGCGATGATGTTTGAGGAGGCTGGCGATTGGGTCATTACGCTCCCCTTACCAAAGGCTTGGAAGGTCGAGAGGCCTGTGCAGCAGCTCTCCAATCGCGTAAGTGCTACATTGTTTACAAGCAAGTCTTTGCTAGTGCTAACTTGGACAGTTGATCATGAAATTCAAAGCTCATTACAGGACGACGCCTCGGGAGCCAATCGTACAAGCACCACCGCCTCCACCTCCCGCTCCGCCTGCTCCTCTCATCGAGCAGAAGCGGCCTGCACCTCTGCAGAAAACATCTTCTATCAAGATCAACACCCACAAGACGGCCTCTGCCCAACGCCCAAGCGTCCCTCCGCCTCAACGACCCAGCGCCAGTGCCTCTCCCGTTGTTCAAAGCCCAAAACCCACTCTGCCAAAGCAAGAAAGAGACACCATTGTTGCATCACCAGGTCTGTCTCGACAAGCAAGTGCTACGTCTTCATCAGGATCCAAACCATCTTGGCCCCCTGAACCCTCATCTGCTTCCAATAGCAAGCGCCCTCGACCTGAGAAGGATGAACAGCCTACTCCGGCACCCAAACGCGCAAAGGTCGATAAGCCATTCGATTCGGGTATCCCCAAGAAGAAGAGCAAGATTGTCACCTTAAGGGTTGCTCCAAACCGCCTCGCTCCTTTACTGAGAAAAGAAAAGAAGCCAAATGGGAATGGCCGGGTGTCTCTCCCCTCTGGGGCGCCAAGAGATGGCCCTGCCCCTTCTCTGAACTCAAGATCAGATTCCATCACGGCCAAGCCTGCCAGAAAGCCTCTTCCTGGAGACGCGGCACGACGGCCTTTGCCTGGAGGCCCGGCATCATCGCCGCACCCTGCCCCAGAGAGAAAGGTCTCGCTAAATACCCATTCGAACTCTACACCGAAGCCCAAGTCTGCGAGTCCTGCCACGAGCACACCCCCTCCTGCTGCAGCGCCTACTCAGCGGCCCAAGATCAAGCTTATCCGAAAGCCACAACCACCACCAGCCCCCTAAAAATCGAAGCCGAAGGGGAAATCATCTCGCGGGCCCATGCTAGAGCATCCCGCCGATTGCAATAAGTTCGGCTCAGTCACGGAGCAATGTGCAGCCCGCCTACTGGCGAATAATATGCTGCCACCAAAATTGCTTTTTCTCTGGCCTCTTGCTCCTACCTGGCAAGCAAGTGTGGCTAGTGACGAGGAACCATTAAACAACATCAATGTAAATAGGAACATAAGAATGTGATGTGGATTGAACGCAAAATGCGACACGCGGGGAACGAAGAAATGAATTTTTATAATTACGTTCGAACGAGAAGTCGCAAGATTTTGCGGAGGCCGGTTTGTGGTGTTTCGCGCATTTGGTATAGGGGCAGATGTCACTGAAAACCTGCATTTTCTGGCGTTGGGAGCGCAACGTAGTATGCGAAAGCCCTGATGAGTGAGAGGGATGCAATGAGACGTAATGAGTATATAGGCAGTTTTGGGGACAATCCATCAAGATATCTAGTCAATACTACTCATCTCCGTAATATTATGACCACTTCATGCTTGTCAAATACCACCTAAGGGATTGGTGGATAGAACTTGAGGGTGCCAACTTGGTTTCAGATTCAAAGTGAGTAGTAAGTAATGTAGTATGTTCATTTCGTCTTAACCAAAAGGTACGCCACGCCCCTCTCACTACGAGCAAACATCTGCCCAACTCTCGACTTAGTTATCCATATCGAGGGCGTCAAACCACTGGAAGATATTCTATCCTTCGAGCTGGCTGCCACCTTCTTTTGCTTGGGCCTCGAGAAAAGCCTTTCTCAACTTAAACCTCTGAAAGCCATGTTTCTTAACAAGCCGGTTGTGAGCTCTCTGAGCGCGCTCCTGTTGAAGTTCTTCGCTATCGTCAGCGGGAGAACGGCGACAGTCTACGCTCGAAGCAAAGTCCAAGTCCGCATCGTCACGGTCTGTCCAAATACCCTCATGGTGAGAAGGCACATCGCGTCCTTCACTAAGATGCTTCATGACTAGAAGGGCCGATTTCCCGGGCGTCAGGGTGGTACGTTTGAGGGCTTCCACGACAAATTGGCGGGGATACCCCATTGATTCATATTGATTTATGCACTTCTGAATTTCTCGAGAGTTAGACTTTTCTGAGCTCTGAGGCTGGCTTGTCTTGGGAATAGCTCGGGAAGAGTTGAAGGAGGCCGGAAGAGACCGTCGAGCTGTTCGGCTGCTTGGTTGTGGGTTCGGTTTCGCAGAGGAAACAGCTCGTCTGGGAGCGATTTGTTCTGTAAAGCTGCTGTCATGACGTCGTCTCATGGGCTGGGCATGTGATTCTCGCTGTCTCTCACGAGAGGAGTTCTGCTGGCGATATTTATTCAAACGCAACGGTATTGGTGTAGTATCCAAAGCTGCATCATTTGGGAGTGGAACATCCACAGATTGGTGTCGAGTATCCTGCCTGAATGCCGGTCGCGTTCCAAGGTCTTGTGATTCTTCTTGCATCGGGGGAAGTGGTGGAAGGTGTTGCGAGGCTTCGCTTTCACCAATATAACCTAGCCACTGAGAGGTTCTTAGTGCCCCAGGAGATGTTTCTTGGACGCGCTGTAGCTTAGGAGCTTCTTCGGCGTCTGGTGTAGAGGGTATCTCTATGTCTTTACTGTAGCGTCTTTTCTTAAAGCGCTCGGATGAGGCGAAGGGAGGCTCACCAGCGGTTCGTTTCAAACCTGACGCGGCGACTGGGGGTGAAGATGGTACCTGACTTTGCAGTAATTCGCGCTCTTGGCTGTTTTCGAAGTCGACGTCCTGACTGGGGTCTATGCCAGGAGCTTGATCCTGTGACTCGGGGTTCTGTTCCTCGCTGTTGACTTCGAAGCTCTCCATTGTATCGAGGAAGTCCATGAGGTTCTCTTCATAGCAAAGATGTAACTCATTGACGGTGTGCTGATCTGGTTCAATGAAGCCAAGGTTTTCCGCGACTCTGTGCCAGTCAGTTAATTGGCTGTCCTGTGATACTGGCGCATCTCGGGTAGCTAGCATTAGATCGAACAACTCGATTTTCTTTCCATTGATGTTGAGATTTCTCTTAATGTCTCTTTCGGTGACTTTGATATACTCATCAAGATCTTGATACCAGTTAGACCTCAGAAGAGCGAGGGCCTCTTCTTCTTCTTCTTCGTTTTCGTCTCGTTCTTGACGGTCTTCTATTGATTTCCGAGGTTTATTGGCTTCTCTCGGGCCTTGCAATGGGACTGTTGTAGGTTGAGGTTGTGGTGCTCTGCGAATAGGGCCGGCGTCTACTTGGCTGCTCACGTGTTGTTCAGGGGCTCTGTGAACAGCAGCCTTCTGTGGGACTCTGGTAATCGTATTGCGGTCTGCCGTAGTATTTTCTGAGGTGCTCGCAATAGGGCCGGCTTCAGCGGGCGCAGAGGCTGCCATACTCTCCAACTTTTTCCTATCCAGGAACTGCAGCTTTTTGAGCCAGTGATCACGCCAAGATTGTGCAGTATGTCGAGGATTCTGCGCATGTGAGCTTAATTTGGATGGCCTGGTTTGCGAAACTTACAATCTTTTCGTACTCGTACCATATCTGGTTTCCTTTGTGTTGGGTTGGATGGTTTAGTGCCCACCTAGTAAGTTTCGCGTCGTCCTCAGCAGTAAACGGTGTCCGTGTTGACTTTTTGGCTTGATTGCTGCCCACAGGTCTCAGCTCGTCTGGATGGCGTCCTATTAGGTATTTATCCTTGATTTGGATATACCCATTTTCCACCGAGTCCTTAATAAACTTCCATGAATAGGAGCCAGGAGGGGCATCTCTTTTTATGATATGGTCTGCAAGAAGTATATCAGCATGTTTTTCCAACATCACAATCTTGCCGCCATTTTGCTATTTTAAAATCAGTGACAGCGCGTGAATCAGTTTGCAGGATCAACATACCGTGATAAGCTCTGTCCAATGTTTTCTGCTCGGTACTCGATGTGACAGCCAAAACTTGAGATCCTTGAATATGGTACCGCCCTCCGCACTTTCGACTCCATCGTATGTGATTGCCGGTGGCATTGTGATGAGTAGACTAGCTCTGGGCCATGAAAGGGATAAGGCGCTGGTTACTGAAGATTGTGTCAGAGACTGTGCTAGAAGTGAGGAAACGACTCTGCAGACGTTAATTTTAGCAGCGTGAATCAGCTTGAACCCTTAGAAAATTCGGTAAATTCATCACATGATGAGACGCGCCCTCAATTCGGCCAAGATTTGGTTACCGCCCGCGGTCTTGATGTTCTCTAGGTGCAAGTCGCCCTGATGAAAGCCACGCGTTGAAAAGCATCGCGCGCTCACGTGCCAATAGATGTATGTATTCAATTAAGCGCGCTTATGCTTTGCCTAAGTGCATAATATTAAAGCCTTTGCAATATGGTTAGATTAGCTATTAAACTATATAGAATTGCTAAAATAGCAATGAAACTTCTGCATTGTGATTACATTATCTTGCATACTTATAATTAATTAACTGACCTGATCTATTCTTGGTTGCTTTGTTCGACAGACTTCTCTGCCATCGTTTCTACTCCGTGCCTAAGGTAGACCAGAAAGAGAACGACGTCACTTCTTATCGATAAGAGCTTTCCCGGGCTATCCCCGGTTATCGGTAGCTTTGACCTTGGTTGCCATGGTAGCAACGATGGAGTGTTTACTTCCAATCAGAACCGAGGCCGTGGGACGAGTGGCCGGGATTATTTGGGTCTAAGCTACAAGTTGCACGAACAACGCAAAATAGATCCATTCACTTAGCTACTTCAAGCTGGACCTTACTTTCTTCCTTTTCCCTCCCCTTCCTCTCTCTCCTCTCATCCATCTCTTAACATCAAGCTTACTACTACTAACCAAAGCAGGTTGTGTTTGTCTGTTCGTTCTTGTTTCTGCGTCCTTCATCGCATCGCATTTGATCTGCATTCACACTTTCACGGCCTAGCGAGAATTTACTTGTTTGCATGGGTTGAGTTTGCTTGTTCACCGTGAATAACTTCATCATGTCTTCCGAGGACAAGTACGAAACGCTGGAGAAGATTGGTGAGTCTATCGAGTTAACCGCACTCGTCTCGATGCGCCGTGCTATGAATTGAGCGGCAACTCTAACTCACCGTCTTCTTCTAGGCCATGGCTCCTTTGGCATCATCCGCAAGGTCCGTCGCAGGACAGACGGCTTCATTATGTGCCGCAAAGAAATCTCATATCTACGCATGTCCCAGAAGGAGCGCGAACAACTTCACGCCGAGTTCCAGATTCTATCGCATCTGCGCCACCCAAACATTGTCGCCTATTACCACCGCGAACACCTGAAAGTTAGCCAGGACTTGCATCTTTACATGGAGTACTGCGGGAATGGCGATCTCGGCCGCGTTATCAAGGACCTCGCGCTAAAGGGCCAGCGAGCTCAGGAAAGCTTCGTCTGGAGTATCTTCAGCCAACTCGTCATGGCGCTCTACCGATGTCATTACGGTGTTGACCCTCCAGAGGTTGGCGCCAACGTCCTTGGGTTGACACAGGGAAACGCTGCTGGCGGACCCAAGGTTCCAGCTGGAACAATGACTATTCTACACCGAGATTTGAAACCTGAGAATGGTGAGACCTCGATAGTGGATCCCTTTGTTTGTGATATTCGAAACTAACAGTGTTTTAGTCTTTCTTGGCGAGGACAACTCTGTCAAGCTTGGAGACTTCGGTCTCTCCAAGATGATCAAGTCCCACGACTTCGCTTCTACCTATGTCGGTACCCCCTTCTACATGTCTCCCGAGATCTGTGCTGCGGAGAAGTACACATTAAAGTCAGATATCTGGTCTTTGGGCTGCATCATCTACGAGCTCTGCGCACGCGAGCCGCCCTTCAACGCAAAGACGCATTTCCAGCTTGTGCAGAAGATTAAGGAGGGCAAGTTCCCTGCTTTGCCTGACGTTTACTCTCCTGAGCTTTATCAGGTTATCAAGGACTGCCTCCGTGTGAATCCTGATCGAAGACCTGATAC